TGATCGATTTCTCTTACATTGTGTTCTGAGACTGAAACTTTTCACCTCAAGCAAATCTCCGTCACAAGGTCCAAACAAACATAGCGAGCAACTGAGCTACTAGTATATGTCCGTGTTAAAACACACGAAAGGACTCTAAAGCACACTTCGCTCTGATTGGGCAGAAAAACTCAAAGATTTTCTGGCACCAATCAGATGGCAGAACGACTGCGACCATTTAGAGCTAGTCTTGTAAGACGATGTCCCCAGGGGCTCTTCATGCCCTAACTTGAAAGCGACTCAGCCCCTGGGTCTCCGAGGATGAGAAACCCTGAGATACGCAGTTGTAAACAATTATTATCAGGAGGTGTTGACTATCCTGTCAAGTTATAACGCTGTTATGGGGGCAATGCAACAATTTCAGGACTGCAATCCGCTTTTGTGGTACAGCAATATAGACGGTAAGATGATATTATATTAAATAAGCTGCAGATTGGATGTAAAATGCGAAACAATCGAGTTTACGTGTGAATGCGTACATTTTCGAATCACTGACGGCATCGTCAAATCAGCTCCTTTTATCCAACTTTAAAATTTGATTAAATCCCACTGAATCATTTCTCCAAAAAATCCTTTGGAGATCGGAAAGAACCACACTTCACCTTCCAGAAGCCAGATTTTTAGTCGATTATTTTGTATAGCACATAGTTAAATAACAGGTTACTTGTGACCTATTTTTAATCTTGTTAGAAGAAGGTCGGATAAATTCAATTACGTTGTGTAAATAAATGATTTGGTAGTTTTTATCGGTCCAATTTTTTTCAATTCGTGGCGCGACGCTCCGAGATTCGCCTGAAATTTTGAGCTTCAAAAGTGGCATTTGAACGAAATTCAGCTTTTGTTGATTTTCTCGAAAATAAATCGATATTAAGCCAAACGAAGTATGCAGTGCTTTGTTTCACCTTAAGGCCTACCTAACTTGAGAATATGAGCCGAATCGATTTTTCGGCTGTTGCTACCATATTTTGAAAATGTTCGATTTTTTGCTACATTTCCTCTCAACAATGAATCACTCTCCTATGTTGGTCTCCCTGAAGCTGGCTGAACTCCCATCACTGGTGAACAGAAGGCTCCAAGATATAGCAATCCTCATGTTCAAGGCAAAACATGAAAAGAACTTACTTCCTAGTCAAATACAGGATCTTTTTACATCGAAAGCAGACTGCGATAGGAGACACTCTTTAAGAAGTTCAGATTTCAAATAGCCTCGATTTAATACTATTAAATATGGAAAGCACTCTGTTAAATACTATGGCCCTCTCCTCTGGTCGAAACTTACGAAAGAGTTACACAATGAAGATAGTCTGCATGGATTTAAGACTAAAATCAGGAGAACGGACCTGACTGTCATTATTGATGATGGATTAAAAAACTGTATACTTTGTAACAGTTAATTATGAGACTATGACATTGATAAATAATTTTAATTTATAAATAGGTTAGGTAAATAATTCTATTTGTAAATAGGTTTTAGATTTCTCACTTTTTTTTAAGCATTATTACACTGTGTCCCCAATTAGTGCTATGAGCAAGATTTTCTCGCGACACATAAATAAAGGTCACTACTACTACTACTACTACTACTACTACTAGTACTACTACTACTGTCACGCTACGTCACTTTACTGTTACTGTTATTGCGTCACCCGCACTTTGATCGCTATGTGATTCAGCATTCCCGGATGAACGCGTGTTTTTGCCTGCACATGTAATAAAAAACAAATTAGTCAACATGGACGTCTTGTCTCCCTGCCTCCTAGTTTAACACTACTACTACTGGATAACGGAAAGGAAAGCAAATTGCTATGAATCTATCAACAGAAACGCAGCGCAAATTCCACGTCGTTGCTGCTGTCGAGTAAATCCATAATAAATGTTTTACGTTCTGATTATGTTTTTTCGACTGTGGAAGATATCCGGCTAAAAAGGTTGGCTCCACAACAGCTCCCACTAAGAAATCCGCTACGGACAACGAGACCAAAAGTCTGTTAGATACTGTTCACAAGGACCCGTTTTCGTAGAACAGCCATAATACAACTGTATTACCAAATACAGCTGCCAAACCAGAAAAGGAGATACATAATGACAAAACAATGAATGTTGCTTCACTCGGTTCTTTTCTTAAACAGCTAAGATTCATTTTTCCTCTCGGCAAAGCAGTAGTTTAAACGTGCGTCGAGGATATGCAAACTAGCTGTCTATTTTAACTCCGCTTCCCAGAACAGGAAAAAGTGTGAGTCGCTCTGAAACATGATTCAGCGGTCAAAATATACGGATTGTCGACCTTTGCTTAGATTTTTACTGAAGAGAACAAATAATTTGTTCGTAGATGGTTTGCAACAGCGAGTTCATCTACTTTAATAACCGGGGAAGATACTATAGGTACAAGAATATTTGCTGGGAAATAACTTCTATTTTCGAAAAAAAAAACACCAGTCTTCAAGGTCATCTTAAGTTCAGAAAATGCGCAACCGTGGAGAAACTGCTCAGATTTGAATAAGTGTTCGAATTTAAATGAATCTCTTGCGTTGTTTGACTTATAAATTGAACTGAAAAAATCTGATACCTATGGGCATTTGACAAAGGAGAAAGTACTTTGTAGCGTTTTCTCAAGAAGCAAATATCTAATCATCCGTCCACTTGTCAATACGTTCTTAAACATGGAATCACTAGACTCTTTTAACGTTGGTTCCCAGTGCACATTACGACTGCAAAATAAACGGCTGAGAAAAATGGCAATATGAGGGGTATGAACTCTTATGATTGCCGAATAGGACCCACACCAATCACATTCTTTCCAAGATGCCTCTCGCATCAGTCCTAGCTGTTGTGCAATCTCTATAGATATTTATTAGAATTGCGACTCTTATATGGTATCACCATACAATTATGAATATCGCTTCTCGCAGAATTAAGTATCAATCAATTTTAACAAATCAGTGACACACAAGGCAGTCTTCATGAAGATTGTGGTTTTTACCGATCCCTGCGATCGGCAAAATGACGATAGCTGATACCAGTGATTGAATTTGTCGGCTTTCGCTCTGTGATTGGTCCAGAAAACTTGCGCCACTCTCTCAGTCAATCACATGCAAAACTAAAATCAATCGCACCAGGGTCACCCGCGTTTTCCCAAGATATCAAAGTGGACGTTGCTCCTTTTTTTTTTTAACCTTTCTTGGATAAATATTGTATGTCAATACCTCCGCAATCATAACCTGTTCAGCCGGATTTAATTGACAACAACTTTCCCATTTAGTGTCGTTTATCGCATTCAAAATAATTACCAACTAGATAACTTTTTAATTAAGTGTTGAAAGTAATCCGAGATTGCTTTAGTTTTACTTTACTCCGCTCGGTGAATGGTCCAGAAAACTCGTACCACTCTCTTAAATTAGTCGCCAAGCTAAATCCAATCCCAGCTTGGACGCCCGCGTTTTCCGGCGCTTTAGGAAGTTTGGTTGTTCTAATTTGAGTTCTCACCTCTTAGATTCTTAAGGATAATTTTCCTTTCTTTTAATTGGCCACTGTGATGACTTTGACTTTGGTTTCACTACACTCCATCGCAAAGCGCTCTGTACAGAGATGCATTTCATATAAAGTTTTATTTATCAGTTATCAGTGATAGCCCACCACTGCTTTCACATTGATTACTCAAGAAAAAAAGGAGCTATTCCCTGCATGTTTACCTACTCTTGCCTTAACCAACTTATCAATGATCTATGTTAGCGTTTGCATCATTTTAAAGATTTTATAATGCTTTTTACTTTTGGTTTTTCAAAGTCTCCAGTTTTGGATATTATACTACCGCTCCTTTCAGAAAGCTGTCACCTGTGGCAGTACTACAGAGCCAAAGGACATTGCCACTATCAGAGAGATTCAGAAAATGTACTGTTATGGTTTAGACCTGGAAATACCTCTATTGTTCTCTCTATCCCCGTGTTCTTCGTCCCACAAGGAGGAATTAGACCAGTGCACTAGAGAATTCTCAAACCTTTTTAAGTTCAACATCTCGAGCAACACCTTGTGCAGGTAGTAAATCAATTTTCCTTTTTCAACTGCATGTGTATAACGTTCTGGATCATTTTTAGTTTTAATAAGTTGACAATCCCTTTAACAACCGATAATTAGATCATTTTGATCATTAGACGCTTTGGTTTAAATTTCCAATTCCGGAGAGGCACGTCATAGATTACAAAGCAGCACCTTGTACGGACGCCCGTACGGTCCTAAATCCAGATTTTTTCGGCTTGATGGGTTACTACTGCCAATTTTTATATTTATGGAACTACGCTGCGCGCGCTGCAAGCTCCGCTATTGATTTTATTCTCACTGAAAAGAAAGGATATTACATCCGCGAAACCTTGGACCTTCACAGCTTCTTGCTGTATAGAAATTTCAAGGATTATAAATCCTAAAGTTTCATTTGCTTTCTTGCAGAGTACGTGCCAAGGCCAAAGTGTGCGTAGCAATGGCATGGAAAATGTCATCATGTACTCCATCAGATCTGGTGAAAGGTATTTTCGACAAAGTCATTGGAGAATTCAATCCTTTCTGCACGGGTGACAGAGATCCGTGGTCAACGAAAATCAATAGTTGTGCTCCCTATAGAATACCTTATCGTGATCCCGTATGTCAGGATTGTAACTGCAACACCCTGCACTGGTCTGGCGGCGATTGGCGAGGAGTCCAAAAAGGTGGTGCACAAATAACTCATGATTTGGCTTTTCTTTCGCTGAGTTATATCGTCCGCCTTGCAGCAATATTGTTGTTTGATTATCTGATAATCTGAGTACCTAAATGGCTGCAAGTGACTTATAAAATCACATCGCAGACCAATTTATAGAAACAAAA